ATTTACGGAAATTGTGGTCCTTTAAAATGCTCAAAGAGAGAAAATGAAAAATGTGAAGCTAAAATGAAAAAAGAATACAAATTTTACCTCTCATTCGAAAATAGCATCTCGACGGACTACATATCAGACAAATTTTGGAAAACCGCAGGACAGAACATTGTACCCATAACGCGCGGAAGTCCGGCAAATTACTCCAGAGTAGGAATACAACCAAGTTGGCACATTTCCACAAATGATTTCAAGTCACCGAAGGATCTGGCACATTATCTTCATTATCTAGCTAATAATGTCACGGCTTATGTAAAATACTTGGAGTGGAAAAGTGTTTACGATGTAGATTTACGTCTTAAGTCGTATTGCGAACTGTGTGCAAAGCTGAACGATCCCAGCGAACCGGTCACGTGGTACGCCAAGGGGAAGCTGGCAGAATGGTTCAATAAAGGACACTGTTTGCCCCCAAGTGATTTGAACTTTAAAGGAAACACGGATAGGAAAACTTGGAAAAGATAGGCAAGCATAAACATTGAATTAGAAAAAAACAAGGAATGAAACTTTAACTTGGCAGCAAATCTGTCAACTGTACAGACAAAAAGGAGAAATAATAATGCACAAAATAGGTTATTTTGTCAATTGTGATGCAATCAAACATTATGCTTAAGAGCAAAATTAACTCCAGATTTTAATTATGCAAAAGAGGTAACACGGATATCAGAAATATGTAACTGACACAAGACTTTTAGGACCATGAGAGTTCCTGTTTACACATTGAAAATTTCGGAATAAAAAAATTGCAAAAAATTCAAGAAAAAAAAAATCCAATTATAAGCTGATTTTCAAATTTGAGCTGTATATTAAACCTAAGAATCATCTTTGTAAATTACAAAATAATAAGTAGAACGGTTTTCATTTCATATCATTTGTGGTGGCAGTCCACAGAATAGTTTTTTTATGCAATTTTACATGATAAAGAGCATAATCACCAAGAGTTTTCAATTGTTTACTAAGCATAACATGTGGCTGTTACATTCAGATAATGTACTCGATAACTATCATGTGGCTTCATGCGTTGAGGTTCAACATCCCACAATGAAAATGCCAATGTGTGAAAAAAGAAAATCTTTAAAAGAAACTGCACATCTTCCAGAAAAAGAACCCAATGAGGCTGGTTTTCCAACTCTTGCTGTATCTTAGTCCAACGAATCGTTTTTGTTAGTTTGAGAATCATAAGAAGCAAAAATTTCTAAAATTGTGTGAAAATACCACCAATAACAATGTGAAAAATCAGAATCAACCACATTAAGAGACAACCCAGCAGAATTCCTAAGTGCCCATGGTTCGAAAGAACTGCGCCTTTTGCTGGGAAAAGGTCCACTCTGGGTAAAATTTGATCTAGGTACATGGAGTTTTTATAGGAAAAGGTCCACTTTTTCGGAAAAAGAACCCCCTTTTTGAAATTGCTGGCTACGGGCCTGAATAACAATGTGAAAAACCAGAATCAACCACACTAAAAGACAGCCCAACCCCAATTCGCACAGAATTCCTAAGTGCCCTTGCGCATCCCTGATTATTATTCTATGTAATACCGAAATATTCTCATTGTTAGGAGTGGTATAGGAGAAGATAGCAATTATTACGTGTAAAGAATTAAGAATCAACCACCCTAGTGGTTGAACTGAAAATCAATTCAGTTATTTCTGGGTCCATCATCTACTTGCAAAAAATATTTGAAACGAATATTTGGACAAAAATGAACCACAAACAAACGCACTCACTCACCAACGCGCGAACAAGCAGAGCAAGTGATTTACGATTTGTAATACATTATATAAATAAGGCACAGGGATGAAAATGTCGCTTGGTCTACTCTTCGAGTGGAGGTACCGCAGACGCCGAGGGAGGGGCAGGAGCCCGTCGTGTCTTCCTTGGAATCCTCTTAAATTAGACGTGATAGCTTACATTGATTCAAGTAATCCACGTAGAATATGCTACAACTAGAGGTCCTCCAACTGCCCAGTTTGAGACCTACTACAGTGTATTTGAATAAATAGATTTCAACCCTTGCAGCACAAGCAGACCTCCTCAACACGTACATGTGTATATCTAGGTCAAACTACATACCAGTATTGCAATACAAATAACACATTCTCATGGGCTAATTTACCGGAATTGAAAATTTCAAAAAGCGTTTCCCCGTTCTAATACACGTTGTCAACGCATGAGAACGTTAACGTCCCAGTACAGTGGCGACCTCAATTGAGAGAATGTGTCACTAAACAGCCGACTAAATGCGGTTGTCATCGCCATAAATCCGACTACTGTAGCTGTACATCTGTTATGTTGAGATCTAAATACTAGTTGTTACATGCAACAAAACCTGTGTTTTGAAAATATAATCGATGTTGCCTCTTCTATTATGTTGACGAAGGTTCGTACGAAGCAAATTAAAAAAGGGAACGAGCGCGTGTGTTTCTTGGATAACCAACCAGTCAGGAAAAAGCTATGTAGGGTGAGTTCCAGTAATTTAATCTTTCTACTGACCTCCCCTTCTCCGCCTTCTATGGCGATATAGACACAAATGACCGAGTTTGTTTGTTTTAACGATATAGTCTAACGCCATGAGGTCAAGGTGACGGTTCTGCTCTAATCTGTTTACCCAAGTTAACAGGGCTGCCCTATCGACTGGGAGATTTACGTGAAAAGTAAGTTATTTTATACTGTATTTATTCTATCACGTTAATTAGTTGGCTGATTTCAGTTCTGGTGACAGTCCATACATGTACCCGCGTGCTCTAAATAACAAACTCTTCAGCATATCTACTTACCGGGATATACCATGTACAATATGTACCAGCCATACAGATTGGGTTTCACTATTTACAGGCATCTTTCTGATAATTCTATGCAATTTTTATAAGATTGATTTTTAGTAGTGTAAATTTTAAATGGTTTCCAATGAGAGTTTATGATTAAAATATTGTAGTCATTTTAATGATTTTAGTATATTAGCCATTATTGTAAGGCGCCTTGAGATAGAATGTAAGGCGCCATATAAGAATCTTATTATTATTATTATTATTAGTATTATATTATATTTCTGTACTGTTAGTATGTTATCATTAAGTTGACTTCATCACTGAGCTGACATCTGATAGAGATATGTATATGACACTTTGCTTTCTCGTGTCACAAGGATATAAGCAGCAGTGGGGTGTCCTCCTCATGCTACAAGTCTATAGACAAGCTGGTATATGTATATGGCACCTTTCTGTCTTATAACACAATGGTATAAAGCAGCAGTGGGGTGTCCTCCTCATGCTGTTGGTCCATCTGGGATGCCATGACATCAGAGCCTCCATATACTAGTATACCATCATCAACAATATTTTCTGATCTGCATTTTTATTGTAATTAATATTTTTATTGCATATTTCAATTCATGTTCAATCCAGAGTCAGCTATGAGTGCAGGTTTAAGTTTCGCACACAGACCACTAACCCACCGCTTAGATGCCCGGATATTGCCCGACTACCTGGATGAGAGAGTGGCCGAGAACCCTGACCGAGAGGCGATCGTCTTCTACACAGGACCAGGAAAGAGGGCAGCACTTTCTTACAGACAGGTACACAGACGGTCTCTTCAGTGTGCGGCAGGTAGGACACACAATTGTAGCTTAAAACACTAGAAACGCGCCCAGAGAACGCAGACATCCGCCACAATAAATCATTAACTAATAATTAACCGTAAAGTAATTAATGGTTCAACAAAATCTTATAATGTAATGTAGTAATGTATTATGATTTATGAATAAATGTTTCAGGTCTCTTAGAACTGGGTCTGGCGCTGGGAGATCGTGTCGTTATCACTGCCCCAAACTGTCTTTTACAAGTGTATAGCAGGGTGTGTCTTTCTGTTTCAGGTCTCTTAGAACTGGGTCTGGTGCTGGGAGATCGTGTCGTTATCACTGCCCCAAACTGTTTTTTACAAGTATATAGCAGGGTGTGTCTTTCTGTTTCAGGTCTCTTAGAACTGGGTCTGGTGCTGGGAGATCGTGTCGTTATCACTGCCCCAAACTGTCTTTTACAAGTGTATAGCAGGGTGTGTCTTTCTGTTTCAGGTCTCTTAGAACTGGGTCTGGTGCTGGGAGATCGTGTCGTTATCACTGCCCCAAACTGTCTCGAGTACCTGGACGTACTGCTAGGGTGCTCCAGAGTGGGCGTCTGTCTTATCCTTATAAAGTCTGGCTCGACTCCCGAGGAACTAATGACCTTGGTGGACAGGTACAAGGTCAAGGTCGTTATCGTCCATTCAGGTGGAGACGCCAGCTTTGGCACCAGCGTCGTGGGCAAGTGCAATGACTTCAATCATCCAATGGAGCTTGTGAAAGTAGTCTGTGTTGATTTCCATGAGGATGCCTCTTTTTGTACCACGTATTCCACCATGCTCCACAAGGACCTGTCAGAGACACAGACTGCCGCCGTCTTCGCCGCCCAACAAAAGGTTCAGATGGAGGACCCTTTGCTTGCCTTGTTAACATCTGGTAGCACGGGGCCGCCCAAAGCCTGCCTTTTCAATCACTTCCAGTTCATCCGAGTGTCCCTAAACAACATGGCAGCGGGGTCTGTTCCTGACGGTGCTCGCTTTTTCAATGATCGTCCGTTTTCCTGGAAGGTGGGCGTGGCTGCCGGGCTGAACTTTATCCCTGTTCGAGGAATCACCCTGATCTCCCAGCCCAGTGCCGTGTCCGTGACTAGAGGTGATCTTGAAACTTCCTTCCGGATCATGCGCACTGAGAGATGCACGCACGCGGTGATTATGCCGTACATGCTGTATGACATCAGCAAGGCAAAGCCGTCCACAGGGCCGGAACTACCGCCATTGCTGTACGGCCTTACCACCGGGCAGGTTACTCAAACAGATGTTATAAAAAGCTGCGTGGAGAAATACCCGGGTCTAATTATTCTAAATATTTATGGAGCAACTGAGATCGACGGGTGGCCTTCAGAAGAGTACGCGGCAGACAACACAGAGAGTGGCGCCCTCGGGTGGTTTAAAATCCAGGAGGGGGTCGAGGTCAAGGTTGTCGACGACGAAGGCCGGATGGTACCCAGGGGGGAGCGAGGGGAGCTTTACGTTCGTGGACCAGCGGTCTTTGAGGGGTATCTGGATGACGAAAACCTCACGGCTAACGCTCTCACGCCATTGAGGTGGTTTAAAACCGGAGACCTTGCCGTTATGAACGACCTTGACCACATCCGGATACTGGGTAGGAAATCGTTTGCAATAAAAAGGGCAACCGTGTATGTGAATCCGGCGGATGTGGAGAGCGTTCTCTCAGAGAATCCTCTAATTTCTCAGGTGGCAGTTGTTGGGGTCCCTGACCCCAGACTGCACGAGGAACTCTGCGCGTGTATTATTCCTAGCAACGACCCGGAAACGGAAAGTGAAGAGGTAATACTGAAGGAGATTCGTGATTGGTGTAGGAAGCAGTTCCTTCCCGGCCCAGACGGACTTACTCTGGCTCCGAGATATTTTCTTCTGTTCTCGGCGTTTCCATTGTCACATTCTGGAAAAACGCAGCAACAAGAACTAAGAAAATTGGCCATTGAGAAACTAGGTTTATTATGACCTGAACTCCAAATTAAAGACATGTTTTACGCAAAGCCAAATGATCATTTAACAAGTAGTATTATCGTCATGAGCTCAAGCATGCTTTTGGGATACATTGATATGTTAATTATTCCTCATCCTTTTAGATACATTTTTTGTGTTAATTATCAGTTGTTTGTTGCACGAGGCATTTTATTTCCATAAAGTACACTGAATTATTCAATTATTTAGCTAGTCCCTGCTGAAGTAATTTAAATCGTTTAGCCGAAAGGCTAAACAAGTCTAAATATAAAGACTCTATTAACCAATAGTATTTAAAATCGATAGAATAGGCCTAATATATATCTATTTTTTAAAACATTTTGATCGGTCCAACGAAGTCCTGTGTTATTTGTCGTGTGTTCCTGATGTGACGCTTACATTGTTAGACATTACACTGGATGTACGGAGGGATTTTGGATTGATTCTATTTTGAGTGTCGATTACATTGAGCCAGAAGAGAGGGGAGACAGTCGCAAAAACGTTTGAAGGTATAAAAGAGTTTTGGTTTTTAGGGGTATCCAACAGTTATAAAGACCTACATTTTGGAATACCCCGTCCCCTGTTTCTGTTGTATGAAGTACTAATATTAATACAATAAAGATAACATTAAAAAGTAAAATTCATATTTTTTGTCGTTTTATTTACCAAAAAAAATGCTTCTGCATACAGGAAGGCCAAACTTAAATTGTCAACATATATGATAATTTTATAAAATCAGTTAAAATTCATATACTACGTTATCGCTGATATTTTCAACTATACACAGGACCACAGCACTTCACTGGCCACAAACTGACGTAGTTATCAATCTTCTTCTTATATTTAGACAGTTATGTGAGCTTTCCTTTTTAATAATAAGTGAACTTTCCTTTTTAATAAGATTTAATTATGCTGAGTCATTGTGTCTAGTGTCACTATAATTCAGGTGTACCTATTATTGTCATTTGTGTTAAAATTTAAATGGTTAATAATTATACAAAAACGTACTGTTGGACTGGAAAACATGTCCTACCGCTAGGAACCCTGAATATAAGTAATGTCACATGCAAGTGATGTCATCAGACTTTTCTCCCACAGACGCCCTAAAAACTGCACGTGTTATGTTGATTTTTTTCATTAACTGCTTTGAATTCTTTTAATTTTTAATGGCTCATTTCAAGAAAAGAATAGATTGTCTTACAGCTAACAGCAAGATCCTTAGATTTCGGATATCAAAATAGCGCAATAATATATTATTTCAATGACTACGAACATTTGGGGAGAAAGCCCTATTGGCACGCACGTGCAAACTAGCCTCCTAGTCTCAGATAAGCCAGGTGGATCTCTTCCTTCCTGTAGATATCTCAGTATATCAGCAGGGTTGGTATTTCATCCAGACACCTCACCCATCAGCCTGTGTGGACACTGCTACCGAACACACGATAATCACCGACAGTCGCTTAGAGATTATAATTATTGTACGGACTTGAATTGTGTGGGAGTTGCGTTTTTGTCAGGACTGTAAGTATGTTCCTCAGGAATATCTGTGATATGCTGCAATCAAATAAATCTGGGAATCTAGGTCTGGGTAAGACGTATATTACTGATTATAAACACCTAAAGGACCTCACGGTTTCTGGGGGACATGCACATTGCTTTCATTCTGCTTTCGATTACTGTATTCTTATAAAAATATATATTTGTTGACATGCGTGAATAATTTATCACATCAGGGATATTTACTGAGCCTGGTGACATTTTCTTCACACGTAACAATAGCACTATTTATACCACGTTCACCGCACAGGTTCGTGGGAATATTGAATGTGTTAGATGTGAATCTAGCTTCGCTACCACATTGACCTACCCCTGGCCGTCAGTATTACACGATATTAAAATTTACCTTACAGTTATGATCAGTTCCCTTTGGACAAATCGTCTGGGCACCGATAAGTTTTTTTTTTTTTTTTTTTGGGGGGGGGGGGGGGGGGGGGGTTTTTCCCCCCCCTTTAAAAAAAAAAACTGGGTGTTTTTTTGGGTTTTTATAAAAAGGGGG